TTTTTTTTAGACAGAGTCTCGCAATCTTCCTCACTGCAACCTCTGCCTCCCAGGTTCAAGCAATTCTCCTGTCTCAGCCTCCTGAGTAGCTGGGACTACAGGTGTGTGCTGCCATGCAAGATAATTTTTGTATTTTTGGAAGAGACAGGGCTTCACCATGTTGGCCAGGCTGGTCTTGAACTCCTGACCTCAGGTGATCCACCTGCCTCAGCCTCCCAAAGTGCTAGGATCACAGGCATGAGCCACTGCACTCAGCCCAATCTGTTAATATTTTATGTGGGATTTTTGCATCTATGTTCATAAGATAGATTGGCTTTTAATATTCCTTTCTCTTACTGCTCATCACTAATTTGGGTATCAAGTTTATATCAGCCCCATAAATGAGTTTGAAAATGTTCTTTATTTTTCTCTTCTCTCAAAAGTTTGTAGAATATTTAATTAGATATTCTTTTAAATGTTGCATAGAGCTTGTCTTATTGATTTGTAAGAGCTCTTTGTATGTTTTCAATATTAATTATTTGTCTGGTAATGGATATTGTGAATATTTCTTTTCTGGCTTTTAATTTTATCTATAATTTTTATTGTAAAAACATTTTAAAAGTGTGACAAAATCAACTTTAAGCATTTTTTTCTTATCTATTTTAGGTTTTGTGTACTGCCCAGAAATGTTTTTCATGCCAAAAAATTATTTTTAAAATTTCTTTTAGGCCTTTTGTAATTTACTATTTTTATATTTAGGCTCTCAATTAATTTGTTCAAGAATATAGTTTGGGCATGTTGATATAGAAATTTGACTTGAATTTTTTTCTGAATGTATGACCAGTTACCTCAACATTCAGTCTACCCTTTTCTCACTGCTCTTGAATTTAACCTTTATCATAAACTAAATATATATACTTTCATCATAGATTTAAAATATTATATATACATCTATGTTGCCCAGTCTTGAAATCTTGGGCTCAAGGGAACCTCCCACCTCAGCCTCCCAAAGTGCTGGGATTACAAGTTTGAGCCACCATGCCTGGCCATTTGTTTTTCATGTTTTTATTCTTTTTTTTTTT